CAATAAGAGCGCATGCAGACCCGATAAGTATCATGGGAAGCCATTCAACATAAACATTTTGAGTTTCTAGTTGATCAAGTGTGAATATGTCCCAAGTTCCAATGCCTCATTCTCAGGATTTAATCCAGAACGGGAGTATTAAAACCCAGTACAAGACGCAAAAAAATATGGTCCACAATATCGACTGAATGCACTAGGAAGTCCTGCTTACGCCCGATTTCCGGGACAAGCATCGAACTTCCGGTGGCTAGATCAGTGGCTCCAACAGATTTGGTGACCTTGACCATAGAGTTATTATAATGTACGCTAGAGGTTCAACTGGCGCTAGTGTCTATGCGACTTCCGGGAGGCAAATTGAAGCAGACAGCAACCAGCCTACTTTTGCGGTGCTCCTGTGCATCCCTATGGGAAAACGCACGTGAATTTTGTCTATTCGCCGTAAAATAACACGAATAACTTTTGTTATTTCGGTTGTACCGGATAGTATGTACCTTTATTGATATTGTGAAAGTGTAATTGATTGAGTTACAACATTTTTCTTTACCACTGAACGACGTTAAACTTCGCTCTATTTCAGGCTCAAACCTCTGTTCAACAGCCGGTGTGTAAAAACAAGCGACGATTCTAAGCAAAATAACAATCGAAAGGAATGTAGAGTGCGTTTAAGGTTCAATAGCATTCCGGTGGCGCTTATATATTGCTAATATGTCCATTCTGTCACTATATGAAGACTCCGTCGTGCATCTTTACAGTCTGCTAAAAAAATAAAGTATGTGGGCTACGAGAGGTGTGTCTTTTTATTATCTCCTATGTCGGGCAGTTTTAATCGGGCACCTGTTCTCTGGCTTCTCCCCATTCGCAAAGATCTGGAGCCTGCGGGTGATGATTTGAACCCAGAACATGCATCTTTGCACATATTCATGAGCAGAAAGAAGAAAGCAGTACTTATTTATTACAAATCTGACTATAGTACGTGACTTTCAATTTATTTGATCGTCTGCATGCACAAAGAGTTACTTAACCAGTGTTACTGTGTAGTTCTTGCCGTCTCTCTTGGTTTTCCACATGTCCTTCGTTCGTTTGGCACGTATGTCCCTCATGTTGAAAAGTGCCGACGCCGTGTTCGCGCTAACAGTGTCCGACAGTGCACATAAATACACGTACGAAGCGGTTTTAGCAGCGTTTTTCGTGCCACGAATTTCAAATGAAAACGCTGTAACTGACCAATTATTTCGTCTGCGTGACTGAGAAAAGTTCCAAGCTACCTAGTACGTACGAATTATTCGTGATATTTGCTCTTATAATCGAGCGCAGAGAGAAAATGCATTCGCTTTTTCCCATAGCAATGCATTACCGGAAGTCAATTTCGGACTGGTTGCTGTCTGCTTCAATTTGCAGCAGCACACTAGCGCCAGCTGAACCTCTAGCGTACATTATAATAACTCTATGACCTGGACGTGATCTTAGGAAACTTCGCGGGAATTTTCTCATAGGCCAATGACGTGGAGAGCACGCCGTTCACGGAGAGGCGTGTCGTCTGGTCGATGGGGCGTCGTGAATACACGCCTGCAAGTCCGGTCTCAGGGCGCCGCCATCTTCCTCAGTGGGGTGCGCTCTTGGGCGCGGCCATAATCTGATAACGACGCTTTAGCAATGCTTCGTAATCGGATTATGACTCGTCCAAGCGCACCCCAGTCAAGCAAGATGGCAGCGCCCTGAAGCCGGACTTGCAAACGTCGACGGCCAGCTTGTAGAAACTGAGGAAGTCCGCCGATTTTTGGGTAGACTTCGATTTGGCTGGAAATTTGCAGACCGCATCAATAACACTTTGTCAACTAAAAACCAAAATATTTTATTCTTGCCTGCTATTACAGAGGTTTATAGAGCAGGTGTTGAGCTCCATCAATATACGATAGAGCCTTTGCCTGATTTGCCAAATGGTTGGCGTGCAATATTCCCTGCAGAAGAAGTGATGAAAACGTCTTTAATTTATTCTATTGCGGAAAAATTTTATATAGGGCTGAAAAGTTTTTTTACACTATGAAAGTATTAATGTCGTTGAGGGGAGGCATGCGAATTTACAGCTGATTGAAACTGTGCTAAACCAAAACTTATCTAAACAAAAATTCCTTTATAGAACTACCCCCTTCCGATGTGCTCTCGTAGATGGGTGTTTAAACGCGTTAGATTCTACTAAAAAAAAAAAACGAAAAAAATAAAACGAACATACAGTTACACTTTTTTTTAGTAACTTAAAAAAAAAAATCAGTTCAAATCCAAACGCTGTTTGAGCTGGTTCCTTTCGTCCCAGGTCCAACAACGTCTACAGACACACACACACTACTCGACATGGCAGCTGCTTAACTGGTCACTTTCTGACGGTCTGCTTACGGATTCATCATAGTTCTGCCACGCGCTCCTGCGTACTTCGTTTTTGTCCAGCCCATAAACACATAAAAGTGCTGTTCATAACATAAAAGAGGCAATACCAGACTTCTACAGTTTTAGAAGTTGTGCATGTGTCAGGAACACATAATTACTTAAACCAACTTAAAAAAAAAAAAAAAAAATTATGGTTTTTTTAAACTACTTATACACGTTCTTCCCGAGTATAAAAACGCAGGAGAAGATTTGCAGAGCATGAAATATATTTTCTATATCATCAATAAATTTGTCTGTATCAAGTTGACATAACCGTTTGAGACTGACACGGGAAGACGATACTCGAAAATACGCCAACCGTTGAGGCGATCTGCGGAAATGTGATTTTCGCTTGCCAGGGCGAAATACCGAGTCACGGGGTATGCCAAAAATGACTTTCTGCTCACATTACAGAACTCAAGGCAAATACACGAAATCTGCAGAAAGGGAAAGATAATAAAGAGTATTCAAAAGAATACCATATACGATGCCGCAAAATGAAATGCAGATATGTAATGATATTCCTAGTTACACATAAATAGCACGAAGGACATGCGAAACATTTTTATATTCCTAACATAAGCCACATTTGGGCATCAGCTTGCATGAACTCGAAACTTCGCGAAATACTTCCTCTGGAGGCTTTAGCTTTGGGCCCTCACTTCACAACTTTGTTCTTTGTCCTTCATGCGCTCTAACAGCTGATAAACGGAGCCAGAGTCTGGGCACCACGAAGACGCGTTTCTGCCAAGAGTGTTTTTTGTAAGCGCAGTAGTTTCCGTGGCCACGTTGTTTTTTTTTGTTTTTTGTTTTTTATTTGTGCGGGAGATGCGGGCAGAAACAGCTTTACGACACAGTATGTTTTTGAACCCCCCCCCCCTCCCCCCTCTCTCTCCCCCTCCCCCTTTTTTATTTTTTCGTTGCTCTTCCAGAGAATACTTTTTCACCTCCGTTGGAGGGTGTTAATTCCACAATAATATTTGTGTCACTTGTTAACAGCAATCCTCTATTGCACTCATTTCGCAACCCAAAATTGTGAAGTTTAAACAAAATACGGATGCGGTGGATGCTTGGGGAAGAACTTGAGAACGACACTCCTATGAGACTTAGAACGGTTGCCAACGTTCGCCTATCCCTCTGAGGCCATTAGGATCTTCCTTTCAGGGTATCTCTCCCATTAACACTCGCAGTTCTATGCAACGTAGGATCAATAAGTCATATTTAGTCCTTTCAATGTTTCTTGGGGAGAACTTTCTGAGGCAGTTCGACAGCAGCGAAAGCAGTTTGGGTGCCTCAGTGAAGTGTACAGGTAAAATTGGTCGTGCAACAGTTTTTGTAGAACGTCCAGCAACTACCTCGCTAATAACAAATTCCCGACGTCGATGACTTTCAGACATCCATTAGTTTTCCTCTCCGTGCAGTGGCAGACAAAGAAAAAAAAGAAAAGAAGAAAGAAACAGATTTTTTTCTGCACTAAAAAAACGAGCGGCGACATATTCTGACCCTAATTATATACTGTCAGTGTTCATCATAGTCATGTGCTGGGGTTGGCATGGGTGAGCTTCAGACATTGTCAGAGCTCGGCTATTTTCATGTTTGATTGATCACGAGCCATTACCCCGATATTTGGAGACGCTGATTGTCATGAGCCCGAGCACCCGATTCGGGTTCATGACAATCAAGTACGTCACGGTGCGAAGCAACGTTACCAGATTAGGTCAGTTGTGGAACTCCCGTGGAAGGGGTTACCCCTCCTCATTCACTGTAGTTCGCCGCCCGCCAGTGGGTCGCGGGGCAACCCGACGTAAAATTAACCAACATGTCTTTACACCACGACGTTACGGGACCACGTGACACAAAATTAATTATAGTGTCTATACAAAAGCGCCACGAAATCCCATAATTTCTCATACATTGTAAATCTGTATATGACAATTTAATCAATCCATAGGAATACAGCTGCCAATTTTGTTTCTTACGTATTATTTTTGTGATACTAACAAAAAAAAAAAAAAAATACCGTGAAGCGTTTTGAACCGGTTAGCATTATATTTTTCCCCGGTACAGTTCCGGTTCAGTTCCAAGATGGCGGCGAAGATTTTGGTTCGGATCATTACGGGTTCGGCTAGAAATAACGGTTCGGTTCGATTCCGGTTCTACACTCTGCTTACAAGTCACTTAAGAAGTAAGTACAAGTAGAAGTTACTCGCGAAAAGTGTCTAAGTTTGTGTACTGAGTACTGACTTTTGAAAGTATTTTCAAGATACAAAGTTAAATGCGATCAACGCACAACCTAAAAAAAAAAAAAAATAACTGTCAGAAGTTTTATGACGCAGGCAACTTCCGGCTTCCCGAGTGGTAGCGCCGGCGGCGCCGACGTCCAGCAGCTTGCGTTTAAAACCTCCGGTAACATCGCTCACGGTATTCGAAGAATACGAGAAAATTTAAACCAATTTTCGTTTACTTAGAGGGATAAATGATTTTGTCGATTTCTACACAAACAATATTCCCATTAAAACTCAACCCGTGTCGGGTTTTCACCGTGCGTACAGAGCAGCCAATCGGCGCCCGCGCCTCGCGTTTTCATAGGTTTAAAAACCGGTATGACGTGTCATGTGCCATCACCAGTGCACCGGTGGGCAGACAAGCAAGGGTGCCTGAGAGAGTGCTGACGTTACCGAAGCCGCCGAAGCGTCGTACCGTCGTCCTTTCAGTTTTTCCGCTCTCGCATTCTACGAGCATATATGTCTTCGACCGACGAGCCTGACGCAGTCGACGAACCCGTGGATTCAATTCAGCGCTACGAAGTCGACAAACTCGAATCCCGGAAGTACGCTTACTTGCTAGACCTGGCACGGGAGCTCGGCTTCTTCTGCAAAGGAAACCCGAAAAAGGCCCGAGTCATCAAGTTCATCAGGCAGTCGGCGCTACACCCACTGCACGAAAAAGGTAATATTCTTCGCATGATTTTTCGAGAGGCGTGCTCACTCTTTCGTTTGAAGACTGAACGCTCTGTAAGCCATAGAATATACTAGAGGAAAAAAAAAAGTGATTATTGGGCCGTCATGTTACCGGAAAACAAAATAAATATATGTTATAGCATTCTTTGACTGTCTACTGTGACGTGAGTAAAATGGCGGAAATGCACTTTCGCTGCCCACTGTACTTTGCCGGCTGTCGCCACTGGCAAAAGTCGGCATGGCATCGTGATTTATTATAAAGAGTCGGTGCAAGCTTCCTGTAGGCTACTCTCGGCATCTGCTGTTCTGTGTGGCGATAGCAAGATTAGCACTGTTTTCAGTGCTACGCCCCCTCCCCCTTTGCTGCACTAACACGTAGCAAATTTCGTGACATTTGTATGAGCAAGCTTTAAACAGCGATGTCATCCGAACGCGGTGTTTGTTCACCAGATTACTGTTCAAGCATATATACCCCTCCACTCTGCTCAAACAAGTAAAATCTTTCAGCACCCTTCGCGGACTCTAATCTCAATTCTTGGCGGAAAAGTTGGCGAGGAATTCGAGCGCCGTGATTGGCCGGTGCCAAGGTCAAGCGTGACGTCGACCAATCGCGGCGGCCGACTTTTTCGCCAAGTGTCAGATCAGAGCCCCAGTGTAGGGTCTTCCGAATTTTTTTGTGGTGCAGCATCACTCCCATCTGCTTCAGGCAGCCTCCTAATGCAAAGAACACTTTAGGTGGCGCCAAAATTACCCGCCCAATTTTAATCGAGCCAGCCTCGAAGAACCGTCTGTTGCAAGGAATACGGTGGTCGAGTGTGTTGTGCATCCTGGGACGCGGAAAGTAACACTGGCACCGCACTCTCATTCGCATGTTCTTCCTCGCGCTAGTTCTTTGTCTTGGCTCCCTCGAAAGCTCGCGCCGCAGAATCAAGGACTCCTGACCAGGGTTGTAAAGTACCTAGGTACAAGTAACTGTAAATCGGTATCTAGGTACTTTTGTTGTACCTGAGGTGCAAACCTAGGTACTTTCATTTCTCAGTATCTGTATCTGTATCTTAGGTACATTTTCCAGTAACTTGTAACTAAGTGAAGTTACTTTTTACAGGTACTTTTCTATTCACTTCGTCAAAATCGTAGAAAATACAATATAACATATAACTGAAAATACATCACGTAGTGTTTCCACGCAATAAATTGAACTCTAATTGTGCACTTTACAAAACTGAAAATGTTTCTGAAAAAAAAAAAAAAAAAAAACTAGGAGGACGATTAACCTTCACTCTTAAGAGTTGAACGCGATAGGGTTATCGGGCCCCATTCGCATTGCCTTCTCAATCACTTCTCATGCTCTTGAGTCACACAACGACTTAGTTCTTATGATACAACACTTTCGGCACGATCGAGAAGCTTTTGCCAGTGCTTTGATGCCATTTTACCCCGCAAGGTTTATTTATGCGCTTGCTCGGCACGCGCTAACAACACTCGATGCGATAATGCCTTTACGCTGACACAGACATCGAGGCACTTTCATGATGGCAGGATCGCAGTGCCATTCCCAAGCCCTCCGTTGCCTAGTCGGTAGCGTGTCTGGCTCGCAACCGAAGGGTTGTGGGTGAGATCCTGCATAAATTCTTCAAATTTTTCTTTAAGGCGAATGAATTAGTTTGTCAAGTGGAAGTTTGAAGGAAGTTTTCGAGAATTTTAAAATTCCGCGATTCACGAAGTCAGACATTGACTTTATTGATGAGTATGTTCAGGTGTTTACACCTCTCGCACAAGCTATAACTCTTCTCCAGCGCGAAAACAGCATGTTCATGGCATATCTCCTGCCTACAGTGGCTTCACTTCGCAAAAAAATGTTCGCGTTGCTGACGGAGAACTTGAGGTACTGCCGCCCGGTGGTCGAGAGCTTATTCGCGGCGATCAATAAGAGGTTTGCAGGTATGAAGGAAGAAAAACATTTGATAATATCTGCCGTATGCCATCCAAAATTTAAGGTTGCATGGATAGACAACGAAGTGGAATGGAAGCGGGCCTGGGATTATCTAAAGAACGAACTGGTGCGAACATCAACTATAGAAAAAGCGTCGTCAGGCGAACAAAGTGGTGAGGATGAATCAGACTGTGAGCACTTCTTTAACTTCGAAACATCGTCCTCATCTGCTTCATGGGAGCAGGAGTTTTTACAGTACACCGAACTTGCTCCGACAAGAAGTCTGGACTGTCTCAAGCACATGCCGCTGCTGAAAAACGTGTTCTTAAAATTCAACACAGGGCTTCCAAGCGGTGCGGCGGTGGAGCGCGTTTTTAGCATAGGAAAAACAATTGCTACCAAACTGCGATCGAAGATGTTGGATGAACATTTCGAAGAAGTCCTGATTCTGAGGTCAAATCGAGCACTCAAGTGAAAAAGACAGTCTTCGAATGCTCTGGTGGGAGCGTTTTGCCTTATTTCTCCCATTGACGCCAATAAAGCACGTGTATCAAATTTGATTTTGTGTACATTCCGGTATACAAAGGATTTAATTCCAATAATAATGTGACAAATTTGAGAAAAATATTTGAAGTGAAAATAAGAAGTACCTTAAAAGAAACTGTACCTGTACCTAGGTACATTTTTAAGCGAGTAGCTAGATACGTACCTAGGTACATTTTCGTATGAGTAACTGTAACTGTATCTTAGGTACATTTTTGAAGTAACTTTTACAACCCTGCTCCTGACCCTTGCTCGCTTACGTCGGTGAGCTCGCTCAGCAACGGGCCTACAGAAACAACGAAGAGTCCCGGTTTCCTCTGTCTCGCTTGTGCGTGCTTGTAGCACACCACTCGCTTGATTCGTTATGAAAACTTTTGGTTGCCAATTTCGCGAGGATCTTACGGGGTCAACAAAAGTATGAGCTCACAAATGGTATCGACGATGCACCACACGCGAGTAAGACATGTTTGTTTAGCAGGGAACTAGAAAACCTGCGGCATACTTCAACCGAGAGAACCCGAAATATATAATACGTCTTGAGTAATATAAGGTGCCTGGAGCGCGTCTCCGATTGGTGTGTTTGCCGCCCCAGAAAAGTGGTACCTCGATTTCCGTCGGATGACTCCATACTGTTGCCCGTCGCGATCCTGGCGGCGTCAAAGCAGCGGTGGTGTATCATGCAGGCGCCTGTTCTGTTACAGGTCGCTCTCCTATGTGACAGTCCACGGAAGCTTCGGCATCCAGGAGTTGACGCCGCGACGACAGCGACACTTGCGTTCGCTTGTGCTGTTCTCGTTAGCATTTCTACGACCAACCGCCAGGATCGCGACATGCAACAGCATGACACACCTGCTTCTGCGACGTTATTTGTTGCCACTTTGAGACCACTTTTGATGTATGGGCGGAATAGGAGGCTAAACACACAAGTGAGAGACACGCTCTATAGCACCAATATACATACCTCCGCTCCGCGAATAGTGTTGTCTGGTTTTGCCGCTGGAGGGATTGGAAGGCGAGAAGTATGTACGTGGCATGTAGTTGGTTGATTGATCGAATTAAGGCAGCTACAATGTACTATGAGCGGTTAGCGTCTGTCAGAGGCGGTGCTTGATGGTCAACCTGCGCGTCTCACATTTTAGAGCACTAGTGGTCAGGCACAGCACAAACACCACAATATTCTCAACACCTGAAAAAATATTGCTCCAGACACAATGACGCGTGACCGGAACCCAAAGCGTAAATCGCCCTCCACAAGTCATCACAGCTTCTGTGAGGTTTCCTTAACTTCTAAAAAACGGGCTCGTTTTTCCTAACGCACGTCAACATCTCCGTCACCTATCGTACGCTCCTGCACTGTCCGTTTAGCATTTGAAGTCCAATAAATTAGTTTTAGCAGACTGACCAGCATCAGCGAGCAGGCGCAAAGAAAATCTATCTCCACCTGGAACTACCATAAAGTCGATATTTAAACCAATAAACTCATTGCAAAAAAAAATTGTTGAAAAACACGGACAAAGACAGGACCGCCCCGTCCTGTTTCCCTTTGTCCAAGTCCCTGTGCTTTTCATCGCTGTTTTTTCGTCTGAAACTACCACCCCGCCTTCTATGCGATGCATATTGGAGTTGCGAATAGCGACAGATCTGCGAAGAAGTCTTACCTTCGTTTAGTACGGTTTTTGAGGCGAAAACGAATGTGGTCCTAACGAGCCATGACAACATTTTCTTTCACTTTCAGAGAATGACCAGTCGCTCCTTGAGGTCGAGCGGGCAGTCCCCGAAGCCGCCAACTCCACAGCAGCCATGCCGAAGCCAGCTCGGCCGAAAGCAGACGAAGTTTCGATCTCGCCGACGCCGTCTTCCTCGCGACCGCGGCGTCACGGCTATACGCTGAAATTCGCCCATATCTACCCAGTGGCGTTTGTCAAGGCAAAGTCGACCAAGGAGTATGGGTCTCTGAACACCAAGACACCGTCCGTCAAGTCCTGGATTCCGAAATCCAGCCTTCGGAGATGGCTCCAGGCTCCGTCTCGGATCCCAAAGCTGAAGCCAAAGTCGACCAAGGAGTACGCGTCGCAGAAGACCAAGACACCGTCCGTCAACTCCCGGATTCCGAAAGCCAGCCTTCGGAGAGGGCTCCAGGCTCCGTCTCGGATCCCAAAGCTGAAGCCAAAGTCGAAGCTCGCGCCGAAAGATACCAGACGCCTGGCCGCGACAGAAAGGACAACTCTCAAGAGCAACTCGGCCACAGATTGGCTTGCTGGTTCGGCCGTCACGGCGGCGGCGACAACCGAATCAAGGCGGCAGAGAAACCGCGTCATTCTGGGACAGGTGCGGTCGAACCGCCAGTTTGACCTCATGCTCGAAAACAGAGGCATCACCATGTAAACATTACCTGACTAAGATTACGTCTGCATCTTTAGCTTTTTTTTAAAATATTTTTAAATCTTTTTATATCTCTTTCAAGGATGTGATATGCAAGATTGCAAATAAAATTTCTTGACCTCTATACTTTGTTTCACCTTACGATGGATCACGGGATGCTAGGAGCAATCGAATCCAATTCCGCGTGAGTGTTCGCTGTGCTGGTTGGCTTGTAGCATTCGCCGCGGTCCATCGTGAGGTGAGGTAATATTGATAGCTTTGTATGTAATCTCGAAACTGTTTCTGAGATGTACTTTTGCTTGCGCATATCGTTCATCACCATCAATACGCACAGTTACACCAGACGTGTCGTTGAAGCTGGGAGTGCATCTACGAAACAATGTTGCCAAATGGTTCCGCGCCGTTTTTGGAAAATGACCCACACAAGGAAATGTGCCGCACGGACATTGCAAATATTATTTTTTCTAAAAGTACCTCCCCGTCCCTCAAATTACGGTGTTTTTTTTCCGCTCAAGTAAACTATGCCTCGCTGAACGCTCATTATCCGCCCAAAAGTAGGGGTTCGAACTAGATTCCAAAGTTTCAGCACTCAGTCAAAATTTATATCATTTTCTGAAATGTTAAATTGGAAAACGGGGCTGATTTTCGCCCAGTCTTATGTAACTGCGGACACTCAACTTCGTGCATTCGAGAGCCTGCGCTGGCCGCCATTTTTCCCATTAAAACTGCCAGAAAAATTGCGTAACTGTTCAACAAGAGTTAGTGCTGAAACTCCGGGATCCGATTCGGACCGCTAGCACTACATTCGGTTAGAGAATGGGCGTTTGGCGACGGATCGTTTATTTGTGCGGTGGTAAATTCCCTGTACATCTTTGGAAGGACACCCTGTATATTGTGATAGCCGTGCGCTAACTTCCATTGTGTGTGTATCTGTCTTTTAAAATAGTAAAACAAGTTTTGGGTGTTCCGTTTTCTTTTCAAAAGTCTTTTTTTTCTTCCAACAGAATTTTATGAGCTGTACGAATTTGTGTTTCCCCTCTACTCAGCACAAATTCTTTTTGTTGGAGCTTGTCCAAGTCTTGCAATCGTGTAATAGTCGTAACCTATAGCATTTTAGTAAGAGATTGTAAATACACCAATGACCGAGCACGACCGTCATGAATGGCTTTCACTGTTCACATGTGTTTGTGTGTCCTGTAAATACTTTCGCGCGTTGCATTATGGCACGTTTCCCCGCTAAATTTAGCAGGAAAATTGACGTCACGTGACCTCAACACGAATTCAGTTTCCCCGCTAAATTTAGCGAGGACAACAACGTCATGACTTCCTGTCCCTTCACACATGCACAAATTAAGCGGCAGGAGGAAGGGAGGATCGGAGGAGGAGGAGGAGGGACATACCCTTCCCTCTAAATTTCCTTTCTCCTCCTCAAGATCTGTGCTCTAGTTTGGCGTTAGAGATTTGGAAACGTCTTTCCTTTTTTTCCTGCAATGTAAATAAAACTGTTCCGGAGCTCTTGGTCTGTCTAGTCTTTCTGGCGCTATCGGAACCACGGGGCATGGAACTTAACTATGACTGGTGTGGATAGGTAACTGGGCAAGTTGGTAAGAGTTAGTGTTAAAAGACAGCGCGTCTGGGACGAGGACAAAAAGACGAAGAGAACAGAAGACAAGCACTGACTATCAGCTGGTTTGTTGATAGAACATAAGGAAGAGAGACGGTGAAACTAAAAACATGGAGCCGAATGTTCGCGCGCTTGCCGGGCGAATCGTGGAATATGTCACCTTTTTATTTTTTTTCACCTGATTGTAGAACTTTTCTTCTTTCTTTCCTCGGGCGCTCTTGTTACCGTAAATCCAAAAAGTTCATATCGCTGGGGGATCAGAGTCACTGAAGGTTGGCTCGCACACACGAACTGATGTTCTTCGTGATGTTGTACGCTTCAACCATCTCGCGACATGTTTGATCGTGGTGTTAATATAATAAAATGACGTCTCCTGACCGTGGTTCGCACCCGAAATCCCGGCAATGTACCGCTAGATGTGAATACGTTGTGCCTTTCAAGGAGCTGTGTTGCTCTCTGAGGCGAGTCTGCCCGATATAAGAGCGCCGGCAAGAGAAGGGGATGCGGTAAACCAGGCTTTTTACGCGTGACACGAACTTCTCCCCATGCTTTACCTTACATATGTTATATTCTGATTTTGTCCTTCCGTCCCTGCATACGCGTACAGCGGAACATAATCTACTCAGTTTGTTTTTGGCTGAGATTACAACATCCACCTCATATCTGGACGCGACTTTTTTAAGTCCGTGTGAAATGCGGTGAAGATAAGGAATAATTGAAACTTTCTTTTTTTTCTTTTCTAACATGTTCTTCCAAGATGAAATGGGAACCAATCTTTACGATTTTTATTAAAGTATCGCATGCTGATGAAATAATAGTCTGGGTATCCTGAATCTCTAATCCCATTGTGTGAACATATGATTTTGTTGAAGCGGATTTCAAACAGGAATATACTATGCCTCTTTTTACAAGTTCCGCATGTGCTCACTGGTAGTTTAGCAATCTCTTTGATGCTCTAGGATGGTACAACTAGCACATGTGTTCTTCTTTAAATTTAACAAGGAGATCTAAAAAGTGAATTTGACTCTCTTTTGGGGTTTCATAAGTGAACCTAAGGTTTTGACCAAGCTCATAGAATATGTTTAGTCCAAAACCTAGTGTTTTTTTTTTTCCGAAATCGAAGTCTTTAGCAAAAACCGAACAATCATCAACATAAAGATCTTAATGATGCGATTTCTTAATTTTTGAACTAGAGCTTTGCTTTTCTTCCCGAGGAAGATATCACTTAGTACAGGTGCTACTCTCGATCCTATACAAACACGTGACTTTCGAACAAACACTTTTTCCTCCCACCCTATAAAAGTAGATTTTAAATACACAGACAATAGTTCAAGGAAATCTTCAACTGTGATTTCGCATTGCGTTCTGAAATCAGTTTCGTGGTTATACCCTAAAATGCACCCTTGAACGCTTACCATAAGGGAGGCAAAGAGTAGTATAAGTCTTCTACATCAATGCTGAATGCTGTGCACTCCTGAATTGCTGTCCCTAAGAAAATCGATAACTACCTTGGAGTTGGGGATACGTAACTATTAAAAGGGAATTTAGGTGTTTATGTAAATATCCCGAGATGGCGTGTTGCCAAGTGTAACGTTCCGATACTATAGGTGCGGAAAGGAATCTCCGGTTTATGGGTTTTAGCGGAGAAAAACACCGCTAACGTGAGGTTTTCTTTTTTTTGGCTGCTGACGCAACATTCTCTAAGTAGAGTTAAGTGAGGAACTTAACGGTTATTCTTTTTATCTCGGCTGGACGTTCCGATACCTCTCTTAAATTCTTTTGTATAGCTATATGAGCTTTCTCGGAGAATGAACCAGGAGGTATGACTATAAAACAACCTTCCTTGTCGAATAACATACCATTCAAATTGTTGGATGTGAGGAAGTTAATCGTAAGATCTAAACTGCGGGATCTTTTGGGGCTACCTTCACTTTTCAGTAAGACATCTACACATTCGGTGATGCACCTAGGTTTGTCCTCTGGTACATTCCGTGAAAGGAACCTGGACAAAACCAGTTAGTCTACGCGTTTAAGGGTGGGCTCGAAGCAAAACTTCGGTTCTTCTTTCAGGATGTGCGGGCGTGGTTCTGGGACAGGTATATCACCCAAGACGACAAGGTTACCTTTCCTTGGAGGACATTTCTTCTTGGGTGGTCCTGTAAGACGAACCTGGTTCCAAAGGAACTCAGTGGCTTGTGCTGTGGTCCTTGACCATCCTGCTAAAAGACAAAGGGCTTAATGTTGATTTTTTGTTTTGTTTACGAGAGCAGGCTTTCCGGAGCATTCCTCGAAATGGCGGACTTGCTGCCATCACTCGGAGAACAAAACTCGACACAGTCTTCTCGAGTGACCCGAAGATGGTACCAACAATCTGCAGAGGACTTGCAAGTCCGGTGGGCAGAAGGAAGATCTTTCATACTAGGAGCAACGAGCCCTGGTATGTAAGGGCCCTTGCCTTGGACACGTAGGTAGCAATGAGGGATGATAACATGGAAGGGTTGGAGAGATACCCGTGAGAACATACAAAAGAACCCGTTGTAGAAGAAATAAAATTTATAAGGATAGATAACTAGGCGAGTTGGTTAGCTTCACTTCTCAGATTCAAAGGATTAGGGATTCAGGATACTCGGATTCTATCATTTCGACAGAATGCGATAGTTTAATAAAAATCGTAAAGATTAGTTTCAATTTTATGTTGAAAGAACCAGATAGAAAAGAAAAAAAGGAAGTTTCAGTTATTCCTTATCTTCACCGCATTTCGCACGAACTTAAAAAAAGTCGCGTCCAGATTTGAGGTGAATGTTGTTTTCTCAGCCAAAAAACTAAGCATATTATGTTCCGCTCCACGCGTACGCAGGGACGGGTACACAAAATAAGAATATAACATCTAAGTTAAAGCATGGGAAAAAGTCCGTGTCGTGCGTAAAAGGCGTGGTTTACCGCACCCCCTTCTCTTGTGGGCCCTCTTATATCGGGCAGACTGGCCGGTGCTTAAACATCCGCCTAAGAGAGCACCACAGCTCCTTGAAAGACATCACGTATTCACATCTAGCGGCACATTGACGAAATTTCGGGTGCAAACCGCGCTTAGAAAACACCATTATATTATGTCAACACCACGACCAAACAGGTCAAGAGATGGTTGAGGCGTTCAACATCACAAAGAACAGCAATTCGTGTGGGAGCCAACCTTCGGTGACTGACTCCCAGCGAGGTGAACTTTTTGGATTTAAGGTAACAAGAGCGCCTGAGGGGAAAAAAAGAAAAGAAAACAAGTTCTACAATAAAAAAAAAGTGACATATTTTACGAGGCGTCTAGCGAGCCCGCGAACATTTGACTCCATGTTTTTCATTTCATTGTCTTTCTTCCTTATGTTTTATTAACAGACCAGTTGATAGTCAGCGCTTGCCTTGCCTTGTGCTCTCTTCGTCTTTGTGTCCTCGTCCCAGTCGCGCTGTTTTTTTTTCAATATGACTGGTGTGTTCAGTGTCCTATTGCGCCCATGCGTCGAAAGGTGTCACTAAAGGGCTGTTTATACTCCAACGTCGACGAACGCAACGCGCGCCGGCGCAGACCGACGTTCGTCGGCCACTACGTTGCCCCGAGAAGCGCCCGAACGGTGGTGTTTACAGTCCAGCGCAGACCAACGTTGGTCCAGCGCGCCCCGACGAGCTGCCCCACTTTACGCATGCGCGTCTCCGTGGCAACCACGTCGTCACTAAGCACACAATGGGCGGTAGCTTGCGCCATCCAGCCTAGAGGCAATCGGTCAGTGTTGTTCGTCCTCGTGTTGTCAAGTCACGCTTCAAAACAACCATTCGGCGTAGCGGTTAGCAGTTCAAAAACAAGCAAATGATGGGGATAACAAGCGAAAACCAGCATTTATTTTCTCCTAAATGTCACGCAAATGTCAACGAAAAAAAAAAAAAAAGGAAGAAAAAGCCTGATAACCTTTGAATTTAGCTGCTTGCAGGTTCGCCGGAATCCTGCCAAGCGACTCTGGCGATTTCGCCGGAATGCTTTAATTAAATCTATGCACTCGATATTCCACAGAAACCTCTTTCTGACCGGTAACCGGTATGTTATCATCATAGTAGATTTTCACGCTGACTGAAGAAACGGACACCGAAGAGAGCGGACGATGCCTAAATTACGCAATGTACGCGCTCGAAATTGTAACGCACTTTACAAAACCAATACAAACAATACAGAATTCAGTACAATTGTCATCGCATATTGCTACTATCGTTTACAAACTGAGACCATTTACAAGCTGGGACAGCCCAATTGAAATTTTTTGGCCGGCTAAATAGTTCAGAGGTTTCCGTGACCGCCGTTCCCGTACATTCGACGACGCTTTTTCAATCGGGAACGACTGCCGGCGAGTGCGACTGGCACATGATAATAAATAGCACACGCATTAGGTCATCCTTAATTCTAATTAACCCTACCTCTGTAGCGTCATCGAGCTTCCAGCTTTTGCCGGCACCCCTACACCACGGCCCACAACCACCGGCTCGTTAGGTCGATAGGCCTATCGAGAATTGAAGGTAGCGCATCCTCGGAGCAGTCCACGTCCACACACACAATCGCTCAGTCAAGCGCACGAACGTCAAATACGCACACCAACACGGGAACACGAACAGCACACGACACACGGCAAGAACGACAGGTTCAGATCCCAGAAATGAGCATCTCGCACCACACTCTGACTGGCCCCGACGCCCCGACGACCCCGCCAACCGGATTCCCGAATGAGGCATTCACGCGAGGGCTTCTGGGATAGCCTGCGTCGGCGGCGCCGACGTCAAACGTCGAACGTAGAGCATGTCCAAGTCCGTCGCAAGCTACGACGTCGCGCGTCGAGCTGCTCAGCGCGGCGCCGCGTTCAACTTGACGTTGGAGTATAGACACCCCGTTCGCAGACAGCGTCAGCGAGCGAGAACGAGCGCGTGCGCTCGTTGACGTTACGACGGAGTATAAACAGCAGTGTCAGCAAATGACGTCGCAAAGGCCGGAGTGCCCTGCTGTCGGACGTCGCAGTCCTGGCGGTTAAACGTGGAAGCTAAAAAAAAAAAAAAAGCAGCAGGAACGAAAGCACTTGTCGCTATCCTCGCGGCGTCCCATTTCTTGTCTGTCGAAGCTTCCGCGGACTGTCCCGTTGGAGAGTGATATGCAACAGAACGGGCGTCTGCGACGTCTACCATCGCGGCTGCGACAACGCCAGGGTCACAGCCGGCGACATCGTGACACTTATGACGTCGTCCGGCGGAAATTGAGGGACCATTGTTTTGGCGCGCAGTAAACACTAGTGGGAACCGCTTTCCAGGCATCATAATGTGGAGGGGAAGTTCGTCTGCTTCTTGTACAGGTACTGCGATAATGTCAGAAGGCCGAGCTCTAACTGGAAAATTGAAAAGAGAAAAAAAAACAACTTCCAGCCTTTCCACTCTGGTGAGGAAGGAAGACCAGCGGAGCTGTACAATGCAAAGTAATGGCCGGCCGCAAGCCGGCAAGCCAGAGTGGAAAGGCCGCCGCCATCTATGAGCGACGGCAGTATCCAGATACGTGGCTTGCCGCCGTCGCTCACAGATGGCGGTAGGTGTCCAGGGTTCGGTGTCTTCATTTCTTTGCGGGGGACACGATCCCGGGGAAACTAGCCCTTAACAGCTCCGCTGTAAAAAAAAAAAAAATAGCGGATAGCCCTCAAGGTATCTGGCATTGAGATCTACTCACTCTTCTCTCAATCAACACCAATCACAGCTCGACGTTGTTCTGACGTCACGGCGTTGAAACACCCAGAAACGTTCCGACGTTCAGCATAGGAACAATTCAGTTTTCACTTTGTCCTTTCCAATCTGCCAATGGAACAACTTTCACCGTTTTAGTATTGCTTCGAAGATTTGAAGCTCTTAGTTCTCAACACAATTTTATCTAATGTAGAGATGGCGTGGCAATAATGTTTTATTAAGTCTCTCTGTGTAAGCTAAGGAATTAGCTAAAGATACACTTAGGAATTCCCGAAGGATTTTAGCTCAACTTAGCTGCCAATTTTGACAATCGATCTTCCTGAATACCCATAATTGTAGCAGGCTGGTGTTTTCGGACAGGTTATATTTTTTTAAATGATGGTTTTATAAAGCAGGCAGCTTTACAACAAGAATAAATACATTTTGTAGAAAATGTTGCTAAAATGAAAAGCGTTTTATTTTAGTGCCAGGGAGGGTTTGGAGTCGGGTGAAATGTAAGTCTGAACTCTGTCGTTTCAGTGCTCGGTGACATGAAAAGTGCTAATCATTGTGTTTTTGATATGGGTATAAAGTATTCACCATGCATCAATAAATAGTTAATAACTTTGATAGCTAAATAATCTCCTACTATTTTTATTTATTTTTTTTTTAAATAAAAAAAAACACAGGGACACACATGTCACGTCTTCAGTTTCAAGGTGACCAGTATGGGTCAGTCACCTTTTTCGATGGCTTGTAGGTAGAAAAAGAAAGAAAAGGAAATGTTGACATTTAGTTTGCTTTAATCATTTACCGAAACGTCTAGTGACTGCGAGGGAAGTCTACACTCTGTTCACTGTGTCCACAGTCGACAGATGGCGCAAACTAGCATCCAATTCACATGGAAAGGCCACCACATCCGTTGTCTGTCTCTCACATGTCATGGAGGGGTCGGAAGTTCATTGCAGTTGGGTCGTGGCGCAGACATGCCATATAGTCGCACAACTCGCCGAAGTAAGCACACAGAAACAACCATTCACACCTCTTGTGAACATCGAATGATTAATCGTCATGTTTCGAAAATGCTATCACTACACGTGCGGGGATGGAAACATCCCCTACCTTGTACCATGTACCCTCAACGAATCGTGTTAGCTGAAAATAGGTATATACAGCATTCCATCTGAACAATATGAACATTAAAGCTTAGCCTCCACGACATCATTTATTGTCTTTCTTGCTATATTTTAACCTTATTGAGTGCCACCTTTGTTCATCTGTTTCATCTTCACTGGCAGAGTTTTTTCTGGCTCTCGGTCCGGGCTGTCTCTTGGGTGGCTTCACTAGAATGTGAACAGCTGTTTTCATTCGAAGGATGATAACAAGAAATACTGCTATCATATACCAACACGCTCGTAAAGTACCACTTATGTTTCTTTTGTGTGACAATGGAGCAAGTAGTATGTGGGCAGTCAACGAAATAATGAGTGTTACAGATTGCTCAAGATTCGGCATATCTAAAAGTTTTTTCGGTCATAAATCATCATATCTTGCTCTGCTGGTCTTTCAATACTAAACTACTGTATGTTAACATTTCAACCATGTTTGTTTTACATGCGTTCTAATAAGTGGCTCCACCTTTTGGCGTGTCTGCTAGTGTTTGCCCGTTCCTGCAAGTGTTTAATTTGATAAGGTCTGCACAGTCTTCACTAGGCTTCTGCACTACCTTGGAAATGTTTTGTCATTTCCTATGACTCTTTCTCAGCTATGTCATCGTATTGACTATCTAGTGGGACTACCCTTATTTGCACATGTTACGCAAAACAAAGTTAGGATAGTGTCGATGTCGTTTTCTCGTCGTCAGTTAACCCCAATATTATCTGCACTGCGTATTCTTAACTCTGTTTATGTTGGAACCATGAACTAAGCGTCGTCCTGAGGCAATTATTTTCTGTTTGTGGGGCAAGGTTACAGCACTGAAGGTTCTCGACCCTTGAGAAAATCTAAAAATTTTATATTCTTATAAAAAACTTGGAAGGCATACTTAAAGTATGTTTTCAGTTTAACAATAGGACGTTTAGATATATATTAAATATGCGAAGCGCACTGGTCAGACTTAGTTGATTCATGCAGCACCCAACAAAAACAAAGTTCCAAGTCCATTAAAATTATATTAAACATATGGTTCATATATTGAAAATATATTTGAAGCATACTAAATGTATATTGCATGTAAATATTTTGCTAAATAAATATACAAGAGCAATATATTTAAGCTATATATTGCTTTTCTGGCGTTTTTAGAAGAACTTAAACAGAGACCTAATGTTTTTGTTTTTTTTCATAACTCACTCTCTAGCAGATTCGGCAGACAGAAAAAAAGAAGATGGAGGAGTTCTTCCCCGACTTCTTTGAAAATATACAAAAAGTGTTACGGTTGAAGGCAAACTGGAGAAAGTAACCTTGAAAATAAATATCAACTCCGATTATTATATAAGTCTGTACAGCTATTACCACTTTAAATTCATCGCCATGACAATAGGTTGCGTCTTGGCTTGCTCTTTCTAGTATTTATGCACTTCGTATTCACATTTTCTCGGTTGCCAGAGAAAACATGTGCCATTAACGGAGTGTCATCTTATGTGTGGCTTGTAAGTTCTAGACGCATCAAATCTGCAAAAACAAGAATGACACTATAACCACCCAGGTATCATTTTCCCACATCCAAAGTATAACGAAGACCATCCCCACGTCCCCAGCTACAAGTGTCTGTTAACTTTTCAAGTCTCGAACCCACCGACAAAAACGTCACCAGGGCATTGAGCATAGAGAAGAAATTCGGCCGGGTTACGATGGTCACCGGTGATGATGTGCAAACAGCACCATCAGATATGTACTGCTGTAACGTGTTTCAGGTACTTTTAGAAATACTACAGACCAATCAAATTTGTACATGTCGCTACGGTCGCTGACAAAAAGTTAGGACGCCATGGACATTGGAGTAATGCAACAGTTATCATCTGCTTACACCAGGAGCCTTAGAACACCAAACGTTGCAGGAGATGGCCTGTGCAACGGTTGTCGTCTGCTTATAGCCGGAGCCTTAGGCCACCAGACATTGTATAAGAGTGACCGTGCAACAATTATCGTATGCTTACTCTTCATTAAGCGTACCAGGAGCTTTTGTCTCTTAGAGGCTCCTGGAGCTTATAGTCCTGAAGACCACAGAAGACAGCGTTCCCATTGTGACCAACGTAACCGTGGATGAAATGGTCACAGCCTGGGACGTGCACCGCAGGTCTTCCTCTTGCAGGTCGATGATGGGTATGCGGAGGGAGCTTCCGGGGTAGGCGCACTCGCTCTGCCTGGCCAGGTTGTGGACGTAAATGGCGGCATCGAAATTCAGCATCTGGACTCGGAGGGTCTCCCGCAGCCAACGTCGAAGCCACTGACTCAGCCAGAGGAGGCGGCAGTCACAGACCCACGGATTGTCCTCGAGACGAATTCCCCCTGAACAAGTAGATCGAAGATTATGGCATTGACTTGGTTTAATGGTTAGTACATGTTATAAAAAAACGCCAAAACAGCACTAAAATTGCCATTCGTAGCATTTCCTCTCTTTTACATCGAGCCCTTTCTTGAGTCACCGCCTTGTGTGTGTTGTCTCCCTTGTGCCCTGTGTCTGGTTTAGCGCTGTTTTGCATTTTTTTAAGAGCTAAAAGTGTGGCAGGACACATATTCCCAATATTTGTACGGAAATCACGAATTTCGCATCTTGTGGCCCAAAACATGCTTCACTGCTGTTAAAGTAGGAATTTGGACAAGTTTGTTCAGGACAGTGAGTACTACAGTGTCCTTTTTGGGCATTAGTATTGGGATCAAGCCATATAAATAAAGAAAGGCAAACGATTGCACATTCAAAATCACGTAGAGGTCTGCCAATATCATTTTTTATTGCAGATCTAATATGAATACTAAAGTTTGATTGCAAATCAAACTAGAGTAAATTCAAAGTCAAACACGTTACATTTAGTGCGAATCGAACCTGGATACTCTGAGAAATCGCGGATTGAAATACTTCTAGAAAGCAAACATATGAAAAGGAACGGCTTTATTACATGAATAATATTACGCATACTTATATTAAGAAATCCTGAATGCCCTGGTAGTTGTCTAAAACATAACGTAACATGACAAGCAAAGCAGTGACCACTGTATTTGAGTATAGCTTCAGGTTTTCTTGGCCAGCACTGTCCTTTAAAATTAAGAGTAAAACAAAAAATAACCAAAGGAGGATGAAAACACAATAGTTTGCAATATTTCCAACCGCGAAGCTCTGACAAGTCAGCGGCTTCTCCTCGCACACATGTGCACAGGAGAGAAGCTCAACGGGGTGGCGGCCATGCGAGGCGGTGAAGCTTGACCCCAGAGTGATGGTGCAAAGCAGTGAAGCTTGATGCAAAAAATTTGATCATTTTGAGGACATTATTATTCGAAAGTATAAATAAAAAATAACAGAAAAAAACAACTTCGAATATTTTTGAACAATGAAAGTGTACTGCGAATCGAATTGAATAGCAAACACTATTCAGGAACTGATCGAAGTTTCGAATAATGGCACACCTCAATATACTAGGATGATTAATTAAAAACATTATTATTCATATTTATATATAGTGACAACACAGCAAGAATAATAATAATACAGCAATAACAAGAGCAAACCATTAGTTCGTTTTTAGATTTCATTCAGTATTTTTGGTTCTAAAATAACAATTCAATAACAACTAAACACAACATCAAAACGAAAAGAACAAAAGTGAAAGTCCATGTTGTCCTTTTACCGTGCTTGCACCGTTGAATAGGCACAGACCGCGCCCAGTGTCAAACATCCTTATTAAAAAAAAAAAAAAATCGGCAGAGACATTTAAGACTCCTTACAATGCGAAAGCATGACGCACGCACTAGGCACAGCTTTAGTCAGCCGGAACCGCGGAGCCGCCGTGGCTCGAGGAAGCGTGCTCGTCACGCACCACGGAGGCCCGCGGGTTCGATTCCCACCCAGACCGAGATGTACAAAATTTTCTTCTCAAATTCACTAATTTCCTTTGTTTATAGGAAACTCCATGACAAATTTTTTGCAGCCAATGGAGATTTAGGTGTCGTTTCGCTGATACAGACAACGCCTAGCCAATGGGAATTCAGTTGCCTTTTCCGCCGGCTTTACCGGCTTCGCTCAGTGAGACAGTTAATGCTTTCACATTAAAGCGGTCTGCATAAGCTCCCCATTATTTTGGCGGAATTCCTTGATATTCTGCACACAGGGCCAGCTTAAAATCATAAAACGTAAAAGCTTCCAAATCACGGAATGAGAATTTTGTCCTCCTTCCTATACACGCGTGCAAGAATAAGGCTCCTGTGCGTTGTGATTATAATGCAATTAAATGCAAAGGTGCAAGCGAGCTGACGTTGTGCGTTGTCATTTTCAGCCATGCTGACGCCCCGTAAGGTATCCTCCACCTTGGGGTGTGCTATGGGGCAGGTCATTGGGGGTGCGCGAATGTGGGCAACAATGCGCTTTGAAACTTTAAATAGTTTTTTCCACATTTTTCGGTTTGTTACTGATTTGAGTATTTTATTTGATTGCTCGTGCTCTTTCGCGGTCAAAGACAACACCTGTATGTTTTAGAAATAATTTTTGAGTCTCCCTCGGTTTCCACTGGCGTACACTTCAGCAAGAGAGGCTCGGTAACATCATAGGACAGGCAGCGAACATCCTAGTTGGAGAGTATATAGTCCGCGTCACCTCTGCGTGCGGTTCGAGATTAAGCCGGGATCCTACTGGCAAATATCTATACTAGCAAGAATTAGCAGCGACCGTATGTCCAAAGCTAAACACTGCATGAAATGCAGTTTTAATGTGCGATCGTTCAAAATCGCCTAGAAGACATTAGAGGGATCCTCAACTGAAATGTTCCCAAAATAAGGCCGAAGAAGCGTTGAACGGGTCGCCTACGAACTCCAGAACATCACTCATACATAGATGTCTCAAACGAATGGCCGTACTTTATTAAAAGGGCGCGATCAAGCGTGGGCTATGACGTCCCTATCCTCCTCGAAATGTTGAGAATGAGAGGAAGCGGCCTTGCTCCTCTCCTCCTCGCTTTGGTTCACGAAGAGAAGCGAAGAGAAGAGGGAATGAGAAACGTGACGTCACATGTCTCGTCGGCCTCGTCGTCTATGTTATATCGCGCATTTCTTTTCCAAAAATACGGTCGTCCGTTAGAGATATCGCTTCCTGAATTATGTTTTTGAGTTTTGCAGCGTCACGCCTATCGCTCCAACCTTGTTTTGTAATCTCGAAATTTCGGTTCAGTATCCCTTGAAACCATGGTTTGGGGGAGTGGCGGAGGACCTTCATTTTTATCAATTTCTTCGCCACATCGATCAGGGAAACTGGGTGCATCCGTCACGTGATGCCAGTTTCCTTGCCAAATTTAGCGGGGAAACTGAATAGGTGCATAGGGTTAAATGACATCAGGTCACGCGACGTCACCTTTACCGTTAAATTTAGCGGGGAAACTAAATTGGTGTATAGGTCAGGTCAAGTGACATAAAATTCCCGCCAAATTTAGCGGGCAAAGTGAACCGGTGTATTCCCCGCTAAAGTCGGCGGGGAACTTAACTGGTGTATAGATAACAGGGTATCCGGTCACGTGACCTAAGCAAGACTTCAGTTTCCCGGCTAAATTTCGTGGGGAATGCGCGGAGGAACGTACGGATGGACAGACAAAAAAAATTGGGTTGTGGTGTTCAGTTAGAAAGCTTGGCATGTTTCTAAAAGTGCGGGTCTTCGCGGAGCATTGCTAATTTATGCCCTTTATGTGGAGAATTAAAGAGGCATACGCTAGGAGAAAACTTTTTAAAATTATTTAAAATAACTTAATTAAATTTTCGCAGTTTACTACGCTTCATATCTTTTTTATAAAGCTGGTGGTAGACTTGATATACTTTGTTTCGTAAATTTTGAATGCAATGTACACGCAAAAAAAAGCATGTTCTTGCGGACACGGGGGGCATGGCAACACACTTAAAAAAGCCCTGCAACATAAAGTAATTCCCTCCTCTTAAACTAGTGAGCGCAATGAAAAAAAAAAAGGTATGTGAGACATTTTTTTTTAAGATAACTAAACTTCGCAAAAACGCCATTTTCAAGTTGCTAACAAAACTTTCTTAAAATTTGCATAAACATAAAAAAAATATATCTTCTAACCCAACTCTCATAGTCTCATTTTACACATTTTAAAGTATATGCATGCCCAATCGCGTTCTGATAATAGGACAACACTTAAAAAAAAAAATTCTTGTGTGCAAATTGCGAAGACGCTTCAAGATTACATAAAGTAAAACACGCGCTTGAATGTTATCATAGATGTGTAGCGATACTCGAACTTTCGAGGTGGGGAAAAGAATATTTCGTTAAGAACCTTCCTGTGAGAAGTTGAAGCTACAGAAGACCAGAATGTAGAGGAGATGACTATAGGTTTACTTGACAACATAAATCTGATGGCGGCCGACGTCACATTTAAAAAAAACACGCAAAAAATAAAAAAATAAACTATAATTTATGCCGTTTTGGGTTGTTGGGAGGTCTTCAAATTCGTATTCGACTAATTTCGCGAGCATAATGGTCACTTAGTGTTTTTTTTTTTCATTAAATCTAAAGTTTTAAAGACGTTGCAGCAAGCTATGGTCCCCTCACCAGCCAGATGCTGCGTGCCCTTCCAGAGAGCCGAGCCGTCGTCCCCAGCTGGCCTCAGTACCTCCGGACCCATGGAAGACAGGAGGTTGCCCCTGAGGTCAAGCGTGAGGTACCTCACGTCCGCCAGGTACCGGAGCAACCCGGCCGGCAGCCGCCGGATGCTGGTGCCGGTCAACCGAAGCACCAGCTCGTGAGTGCTGTGCAGTCCCAAGAGTGCGTCCGGGAAGATGACCCTGAGCTTGCGGCCGGTGAGCGTGAGCTCGGACACCTTGGCGCCGAAGGCCCACTGGAGCTGGTGGGACAGGACGGGCTCCTCGACCTCGATCAGGACCCGGCGGAGAGAGTCCAGCTGAGACACCAGCTCCTGTAGCCGGAAGGACCGCACTCCCGAGTAGGTGGTCGTCTTGAGGATGGTCAGGGACCTGAAACACGGTTCAAGAGTAAGGTAACAACGCCCGGTAGTCGCGTTCGTGCCATTACCGACAATATGTTTTGATGGGGCGCTGTTGGGGTTCCTATTCCTGGCGTCACGACCAAGATTCTGAGTAAAGCGAGCGGCAAGTTCGATGGCGCGTATGAAGGCAGGCGGAAGCCTTGTCATCACGTTCCTAAATCAACACCGTCAGGGTTGGGAGTCTGACTCCGCTCTGGTTTCCGCCGATCAGAGCAGAAATAATCATACCCAAGACGATTTTGTGAGTTGTTGGCCAATCGTGGGAAGCCAATCGCAGCGACACTTTTGATTGCACACGTCGCCAGTGTGGAAAGCAAGTCGTCTGCGTCTTGCGCAGGGGGGTTACGGTGACGTCAGAACGACGTCGAGTTTTGATTGGCTTTGGTTGGAAGTATAGTGGGTAGATCTCAATGCTAGATAGATGCCTTGAGGTCTACCCACTATTTTTTTTTTTCAATCACACAACAAGAGTTTTGCGTTCTGACATCATCGCAACCCCTGTGCAAGAAGCAGACGTCAGTCCGCATGATCGGTGCCAGGTTAAGAGTTCGGGGGAAGCTCCTCCCCCCTTTTTCCACTTTAGCAGAGCGAAAGCCGAAGAGCCGGAAAGCAGGGTAGAAGTTTTTGTATCTAAGAGCCGGGTAAACAAATCCAGCAAGCGGGTATTTGATGCACATGTCTCTATGGAATTTGAACAGGACCGGCGGTTGTGAACATAACAGCTGGGAAAACGTACAAACCAATAACATATCAACGAAGTTGTGCTCTTCTGTATGACAAGTTAAGTCAAAGAAATAGTTGTCGTTTTGTAAAAGTGGCGCACCGAATGAATTCGAAAGAAATACAATGGTGGGGAGTAGAACCTGTTACTATTCTGAACAAGCCCTTAAATAGATAAATATCCCTTCGCGACACAGAATTTTATTTTAAGATCACATTTCCACTGCTCGGAATGAAAGGGCATACGCTTTCCTTCCAAAAAGACTAAGCTTGGGGAAATATAGCGCCACCAATTGCTAAAATTACACCTCACCGAAGTCCCTGAAGGGACCTGGGGTCCAGGAACTTGAGCTGAAGATGTCTAATATCCAGCTCTCGCAGTAGCCGTACTCCCGCAAAACTGTCCGTGGTCAGAAACCCAACTGGATTCCTGGACAAGCCCAACGACTGCACCATCGGGACAAACTGCCAGAGATGATGAGGCACGCCTTCCAGAAGGTTACCGGACAAGTCCAGGTGCCGCAGGTTCCTCAGGTGGAAAAACGACTCAGTGGATAGGTTGAAGAAGAAGTTGTCCGAAACGTCCAAGGACACCAGCCTCTTAAGAGGTAGCGGAGGCAGCTTACTGAGGCTACAGTTCTTCAACTTGAGGTTTTCCAGGGTCTTCAGCGTCTGCAGAGACACCTTGTTGATGCTGAAGATGGGGCTCTGAGAAAGGTCCAGGTGCATAAGCTGACCAAGTCCCCTGAAGCCATCGTCCGAAATGATGACTAGCGGATTTCTGGACAAGTTCAAGGCTATGAGGGAGTGGAAAGGTTCGAAGTCCCCGGATGCGACGCTAGTGATCTTGTTTCCCGTTAGGTCCAGCAGACGCAGAGATCCCTTGACAGGCATCAAGGCCGCGGATGGGCATCGGGTGATGTTGTTGAAGGACAGGTTGACGCGTTCCAGGGCCGTGCTTTCAAAGGCATCGGAGGGCAGGAGAGACACGAAGTTATGACTCAGGTCCAGAATTCGGAGCCTGGTCAGGTTACCGAAAGCGTAGGCGTCGATCTGGTCGATTTCGTTGTGGTTGAGGCTGATGACCTGCGATAGGTGCGAGACATAAGGGAGTAGGTAAATAAATTCAAATATACATAAGCAATGCTCGTAACGGTATGAAAAAAAAGGTCTATTAAATGGTTGGGAGCCCATGCTCAGTCAGGGGCGTCGGAATCGTTTGGGAGATGAGAATGGGGAGTTGGGTTTCGCTCCCCTACCACCGGCTTGTCAACTAGAAATGCCTGAAATGCCGAAAGGCCGACCCATATTCTCGACGCATTTACGCGCGTTTCAGCGGGCATGATCACGGCGTTTAGTGGACACTTTTTCCCACAATGGAAGAGGAGAAGGTCGCCAAACCACATACGGCGCTTTTCGTCGACGTCTCCTCGGCGTTTGGCGCAGTGTAGCCCGACTCGCGCTTTTCATGAAAGGAGGGAAAATGTAGATCGGGTGCTATATTATTGCGTTCCGCAAGGGGACAAAAATAACTAAATGCTAATCAACCACGAAAGCCTAATTTGCTAATGACTGTTTTATAAATGTTTCTTGCAATCGCCAAGTTGCCAACAAGTTCCGCCAGGAGGACGGCCGCGGTCTCTGCTCGAAACCCTTCCTTTTTGCAGTTTTTTCACATCGCCAGGAACATAAATGGTATTTTCTTCTGTCTCAGTCGTTCGCCGCTCGTTCCAAAAAGATATATCGATTTCGTACAGTTAACCAATAAACCGTCGAACGCGTCAAGCGAGCTCCCATTTCGGGCCAGCCAGCCGGCCGCATAGCTAGGCAAGCCGATTCTCGAGCAACTTCCGGCTGTCAGCTCGGGAGCTGATTGGCCGGCCCCGCGCCATACGCTTCCGTATATGCCGAGCCGAAATACACCAAAGCGCCGAGATCTGTCTGGGTTGGATTGCCGAATACGCGCGTATTTACGCCGACACCGAGGAGTCGAGGAAGCGCTGACGTCCGCCGAAACGCCCGTAAATAGACATCGCATATACGCCCCATGCGGTTCGGCCTGAAGAGGCGATGCCCCCCGCTGTTCCGACGCCATCACCAATGTTTAACATTATTTTAGGGTATGAACACCTCAATTTCTAACAACTTGCAAAGCCAACCAATACCTCGAACACTCGTATACATGCGCTCTTGCAAGTTGTAAAAATAAACCTTCCAGAGAATGAGTGTCTTAAACTGTGCGTGGAAAGCAATATAATGACTCAGGGTTTCGACAGACCAAAGTAAAAAAAACGGCAGGGTATTCGATTGTTCGTGGGCGAGCTTTAGAAACCACCCTGTACCAGGATTACATATAAATATAGATTTCAAGGTTTTGAGAATACTGTATCGATCAAGCATTCGGGTACTCCCTACATAGTCGCAGATCAGTCCTGCCGTCGTGTATGTACTTGCACGTATGCTTGTTACTCGTACAACTCATTCAGTTAAGAATCAACCAGTTAGTTTGTGTCTGGATTTGTGCTCTGTTCAGCAGTGATAGAACTCGACTGCAAATGGAGTAATGCTAACGCTGTTTACATATTTGTTGGAACAGCTTGTCTAAGCTAAAATGATACCTTGCAAGCCAACAACATGCTTTCCCAATAATTATTAGTTTAGCTGGGAGGGTGTGTGTCAGTTTAGCATATACCCAGAAACACACACAAGCCTAGATGCGCAAGCACATACGCGCACAAGGTCAATTCTGAGCAGGGGTGTGAAAGGGAACCTGTTTTAAGCGCAACCTGAAATAGGGACTTCCAAACCTGGAGAGCCGTTGTAAACTGGAAGGCTCCCAAGCTGATGTTCGTGATGAAGTTATGGCTTGCGTGGAAAGTTTGTAGTGCGCTCAGGTCAGTCAGAAGTTGGTCAACTTCCGTTAGCTTGTTGTGCGACACGTGTAGATTCAATAGCGATGCCCCCATGCTGGCCAAGAAGTGTTCGTCCACTTCACTTAGCTGGTTGTGACTCAAGTCTAAAGTGTGGACACCGTATTTCGTCATTGTGTCATTTAGATCCCAGTTTGGAACCGGCGCCCGAAGAGTTGTAAGGGCGTTTTGTGAAAGGTTCATGAACAGATTGCTGACACCGGAGTTATTCAAGCAATCCAAGCTAAACACTGTCAAGTTGTTGTTCTGCAAGAGGAGATTTGAAAGCCTCGGCACGTTATAGAATGCTTCACTTTCGATGATCTCTATCCTGTTCCTGGACAGAACAACGGTGTGAAGTCTCGGCAAGCCTTCAAATGACCTAGTTCTTAACATCCGGATCCTGTTTCCGAGTAGAACAACATTGGCAAGCCTCGAGAGTTTCCTGAAGGTTGCGGTCTCCACGGCAACCAGCTCGTTGTGGGCCAGAACGATCCTGTTCAGCTTCTGGTGAATCTTGTCTTTGAAAAAACCGGGAGTTATGTGTCCTATTCTGTTTCCCTCCAGATCGAAGTGAATGAGGGAGGGCAATCCTTGAAGGTAGGAGTCGGTGAGGTTCAACATTTGGTTGTGATCCAGTTGTAGCCACCGAACCTTCTTCATGTGTCGAATAAGTTCGAGCGGAAAAAACCGCTGTCCTAGCGTCGAGCTCAACTCCAGAACTTCCAAGCTAGATCGGAGCGGGAGGAACACGTAATAGTCTACGAAGTATATATTATTGAACGAAAGTTTTAGCTCCCGTAGTTGTGTTAGGTGGACGAAAGTTTCCTCGGAGAGGCTGCGGATGCCGTTGTTCGCGAGGCTTAAGGTCGTGAGGTTGTGGCCCCACGACTTGAAGTCGTTCGGATAGAGGACCTGTATTCGATTGTCTTGCAAGCTGAGTCTCGAGAGACGTTCGGTAGTTCTTAAGGCACTTTGAGGAACGCGCACAAACTTATTCCCGGAAAGATCGAGAACTTCGATGGAGCGCCGAAAGCTGGAGATGTCCGCCGGCTCGAGGCTGCTGAGGGAGTTGCCACGGAGGTAGAACATGGAGAGCGATGTCAGTGCCTTCACCGCCGACGGAAAACGACGGAACAGGTTGAAGCTGAGGTCGAGCACCACCAGGACGGACTCGAGTCCACCGAAGGCGTGCTCCGCGATGGAAGACAGTCTATTATTGGCGAGCGACAGCCGCTCCACGGACACACTGCGGAACAGGCCTTCCGGAAGTTCTGTCAGAAAGTTAAATTCTAGATGCAAGTCCCTCAATAGGACGGAACCGTTGAATAGCTTGTCCGGAAGCTTTTCCATCAAGTTGCGGCTCAGGTCCAGCGTGTCCAGCTGGCGGACCGGAAGGAACCACGTTGCTGGAAGCGTCTTCAGCAAGTTACCGCCCAAGAAGAGTGACGTCAACGACCTTAGCTCTCGGAACGCGAGGTGAGGCACCTGGTCCAGCAAGTTGTTGGCCAGATTGAGCCGGGTGAGACTGGGCGGAAACGGGGACCCGGTGAGGTCGCTAATGAGGTTCTTGTCCAACTCCAGGGTCATGAGGTCGGTGAAGTTGGCAAAGATGCCATCGCGCACCACTCTTATCCGGTTGTCGCCTAGGAAGAGACTCCGAAGAGACACCGTCTTGGAGAGGTCTTCCCACTCGCCGCGCTTCAAGTCTTCGATGCGGTTGGATTGGAGGTTGAGCCACTGGAGGTGACGTAGCCTCTTGAGTTGATGAAGTGGCGGTGCCCTCAAGACGTTGTGACTGAGGTCGAGGGACACGAGGTTGTCTTCGACTCCGCAGAAGGCGCAGGGGAAGATTCTGCTCAGCGAGTTGTGCATCAGTCGTAATGTGGACAGCCGCGTGCCTGCCAGGGAGTCGTTCTGGAGGACTTCAAGCCCGGACCGGGCAAGGGTGACCTGTCCATTCTCGCAGTCGCCCAGGTTGCCCGGGAAGGTGGAGAAGGGCACCGAGACGCAGACGACATCTCTAACGACCTCGTGGCTGCAGACGCAGAGAGGGTTGAAGGGGCATGGCTGGGCTGAGAAAGCTGGCTTGAAGAGGGCCGCCGTGGCCGCTAACAGGGTCAGCAATCGGGACATCTGCGAGAAACAAAAAAGTCGGTTGTGAATGGCGCCGTAAATGAAGACTGCAAGACTGATTGTTTTACTCTCCACTGTCAAGTTGTTTCGTTTGAGACCGAGCCGCACATAACGTTGGGCCACTTTGTGTTCCCATAATGAGCACTACTTGGGAACATATAAAAAGGTATATAGGATACAAAAGTAAAAGCGCAATGGAACGGAACAAGAAAGGGGAGACAAACAGAGCGCTAATATCAACTGAACTTTAATCCCTGGCACTTTTATTTTCGGCAATACGCATTTCATTAAAACAAAAAGGGATGTTCTTCATTCTTTCACATACATAATCGTCAACATAGACAGATATTTTGAGACTGGCCGATTAGAAAAATTTGATATGTAGGTTTCATGAGTAATAGCCCTATTATGAATGTGGATTAGATAACACTTTAAGATAAAGTAAACGAGTTGATTATATAAGTTCGAATTATTGATTTTATGGATAGATTTGAAAAGGTAAGGAATATATAGTATTGTCAACTTAGACACTATGCTAGATGGGTAGATTAGTTTGAATGGACAAATACTAAGGAAAGAGGAAACTCGGAGGGGGCAGGCTTGGGAATCAGGTTGCTTTATTACTTTGCATTAACGCCGTTGTCCAGCCCCAGCGTAACATATTCTGGGGGTTTCACGGAATGATAGATAGGAAAGAAAACCTTCAGGTTGGAACATATATATAATATCTTAAGTAACAAAGTAACACAATCCGAACTCGGAACTTAAAAAAAAAGAATAGTTCCACGACATTTCTTCTAAAAAGCGAACCAAACGAAAGTATTTGCAGTTTGGACATTGCGAATAGGAGTTTAACAAAGCCATATTTGCGATTGGCAAGTAATAAATACATTTTATTTTTCAATTGGTGTGGTACGATTTTTGGCATGTATCAACTTTCGTGCGATTCTCGATCAGTTTTTAATACAACCATTATTGTTACAGTCGTACAAAAGCTGAATATATCATACCAAAGAAATCACATACAATTTTAGACCCGCAATTCCAAAATTTCTGCTGTTCTGCAAACGTGCAGTATATTCAGATTACGTCTTTTTAAAAGTGATCTACAAGGAAAGCTTTTTGTCCACGCTGGATGTTTCCCTACACTCTATTATAGCACCTCAGTAGCCGTCAGGCATTTGAATAACGATCTGCACAGGCCTAGTAAAGTCACTTCATCGCAGTGATGAGATCAATATTGAATTATGCGAGTGGTTACTGGGTAAATGACCTCGGTTCTTTAAAGCAGGAAAAACTTTGGAAAAAAACAACTGATATATAATTTGTTAATACTGGTAGATATAACCAAGACATAGTTTTCATCAATTGGATATAAACTAACAAACAACTGTATGAAACTTGCTTGTACTATCCAATAATATCTAAACAAATAAATACACAAAGTCCCCATGAGTTTTTCGGCGATAACACCTTTAAAATTTGTAACATCGCCTTCTCTGCCTAAACTGTAAATTAAATGGCGTTTTACATCTTCTGACATTCCTGCCACGTTTGCTCGTCGAAGCACTTAGGCACACTTCGCGCCTGAAAGAAACCAGAACGACGTTAACGAAGCTCTACCCAATCGAAAACGTTCTATCGCGAATGCTTTTAGGCTAATCGCTATAGTGACAGCGGTAGATCGTCTGCCGACGACGGAACGTTGTTTGACATGTCTGACGTGATTAATTGACCCCGCGTGAAATGTCGTCGGCTTCGGTAAACATCTACCACCTCTGTCACAATTGGATCGAACGCACTCCTCGTAAACGTACAGGGTGCTGCACTATAATCTAGCCCAGCAAAATGCCGACCGGAGCGGTAAAAAATCCCGCATGAGGGCGCCCCATGCACAGCAAGCACATAAGCAGTTTTAGAGTCAATTCACCGAGAAACTGAGAGGGAGAAGAAGACAATAGAGTGCAGGAACACCAGAACGCTGAGCTCATGGCTCGAATGACTAGTGAGTAGAACTAAAACTAGCTGCCTTTGTGTCCGCTGCACTCCGAGGTTCCAACTGCGGCTCACGATTTCCTAAAAAGCATGCCCAGGTCAGAAAAAAAAAAGAGGTATAAAATAAGACAGCTTGCGTTTTAGCAGCCTTGTGCCAACGTCTCTATACTGCCGTGAGGCACTTTTTTTTCATCAATGAAGGAGATAAAATCGGAACAGCGTGCGACTCTGGACATAACAAGAACCTGAAAGAGCCGCTCAGCACCGCAAAGACGTATACTCGAACTTCATGGTGCTTGTTTCACTAATGGAGACGCACAATAAAGTGACTTAACGAGCAAACACTTTATTAGTGCGATTCGCTGTTGCCGCCAACCGAGCTAAAAGAAAGGACGAAGATAAAAATTACACTGGCTCGATTATGCTGATAAACACGGGGGAGCACAGAATCCCTGTTCGGAATGAGATGTGCACATGTTAGAGACGTCACGTGACGTCACGAGGGTACATGACTGGGACGTCCGACGGCGTCGCGGTGTGACGCGGCGTCACAGAGTCACATGACCTCGTGACGTTGCACGACGTCACAGTCGTTCGTGGCAGCTCCTCGTGACGACTCTTCATGTCGCTGTCCTCGTGAAATTTGCCCAATAAAACAGTGCTAAAATAAAGCTCACACCTCCCCTTTTATTGCGGTTCTTTAATTAAAATGGTCATTTTTTTTTTGTTTATGTTTCGTTTATGTTATGTTCGTCTGGTCACGCCATGCTACAGATTAAAGATGGCGTCCATCTCAAACCACGGGGAGTGTTTGCAATTTAATGGCGGGCGCCTCCTGCCGAAACTGGTTTTAAGTGCGCATGCGCTGCTTTTTCGCGTGGCGAGAAGGGAAGCAGGTGGAAAAGCGGAGATCTTTGAAGATGCATCAACGCTTTCGGCACCCCCTCGCAGCTCGTATATTGCAAACGCGGCCCCCAAAACCACGTGACCGCGATCAGGCAGTTGGAACTTGGAAACTCTCTGCATGCTCTCTACATATGGTGTTCCTAGGTAAACGTAAACAAGCAAATGGCGGAGCTTCCTGAACCCTACAGTATACTTCCGGTAGTCCCGTATTTGGAGTACTGTATGTTTCAACGCGCGAGAATGAGCGGCGTGTCTTCCAAGATTTCCTTGTCGGAAATTCAGAAAAAAGGTAGGTCAAGGAAGATGACGCACCATGGATGGATGAGTGTACCTATATAGATCACACGAGGCCAAAATTAAGCGCAGTTGCTCGTTTTATTTGGCCTCCGAGCCGAAAGTTACGTGGCCCTATCTGACAGACCGCAAGAAAACCCGGCCGTTTACGTGGGAGACGCTTGACGAAGTTGGGCGCAGATCAGTCGAGGCCTTTGTAGTTATTACGTGAACGGGAGTGCGGGTGCGCGCACTAGACTGCTTTGTTTTGTTAAATGCGGGTCATGCGCGCCGTCGCCGTTAGAGCTCTGGTCGCCGTGACTGTTCAACTTGGCAAAAGCGAATTCTACAATAGGCTTGTCGGACGTGGTTGAAGAAGGGTGAGAAGGTTTGTGCCGCTCGTGTTCGGAAAAAAACAAAAACAAAAACAAAAAAACTGCGTTTTCGACGACGAGTAGAAATACGGAGATGGTGACAACGTCGGCCTATTGCGCAATCTCGTTAGTAATATACACGTGGAGACGTTTCAGACGCGGACGTGAATAGACTGTGTTCAGACTCTAGAACCGTGGCGAAAAGGTAAGAAAACAAGTTTCGCGTCCAGCTCGCGGCCGATCCCGTGCAACTCTCATGGGACGTACCGTGCGGACACACCTCGTCGCGCATGATGATGCGGGCGAGTAATAAAATCGACAGGGCGGTGCCAATGGTTTCACGCTATGTTTCATGTATTGCTTAAAACGTGTCACCAAGAGACGCTTTATTGCAAGCTGGGTGTTTCCACGTGAGATCCTGCAATGAACGATGGTCCGGGTTATATTTTGTTTTTATTTATGTAGAAATATATATCTTAAAGCAATGTTCTTGGGAGGAAAATTCAGCTATATGCGAACGCCGTATCTTAATTTTCTTCCGGAGGAATAAAATTTCGAAGCTCGAGGAGTGGAGGTTGCCAAGGCTTCGCAATGATACTTTGCACCGCCGTCAATTTCATACCGAAGCATGGGCCTAATAATTATTTTTTCTACTTATTTTATGACATTTTTACGACATGTACACAAAAATAAAGAAATACCATAAAATATTTTTGTAAAAAAATATTTGCAAATCACGTCAAATAAGCAGGTTTTAGAGACATTCACAAACTATTTACTAAAGAACGACTTCATATAAAACAACGCAAGGCATATCAAAATTATCGTATTTAAATGTATTTTACGAATATGTAAGACACGTTGTAGAGATGGCATTTTGCTTAACGAATTTGTTTATACGTTCTGGTACCTGTTGAACCTACAGTTTTTCCACCAACGGCGAGGTTCTGTCTTTCCCAAAACAGGTCATTGCCCGAAAGTCTTCCGCCTAAAGGGATGTAAAAACAGGACACTACAAAGATCGTCAGGCCACACGACTCGAGAAATCGTTCGGCGCTCCGCTTCCAGCCGTTCTCTTTGCCGGGGGGGAATTTCCCCCCGTCGAATCTTCCCCTCACTAACAGAGCCAACAGAGCGTGTGAGTGGCTCTCCGCACCCACGTGATGAGCAGAGCAAGGCCGCCATGGAGGAAGCGAGGGGGAGATTTGGCGGAAGGGAGTTTCCCCCCGGCAAAGAGGAACGGCCGGAAGCGGAGCGCCGCACGATTTGTCGGAGTCGTGCGTTTTGTAGTATCCTGTTTGAACACCCCTTAACGCGAGGGCCGTTGCATCCAGACACAAAAAACCACAGAGCCAGCATAACTCCCAAGTGTACTTGTCAACAGGCAGGCCGTTTCGTAAACTAGACGAAGCGCCGTGGACGCGAGTCTCGGGCGCAGGCCACACC